GCTTTTGTAGAAAAAGAATGACGCAGCTTGATTCAGCAATGATTGAGCCACCTCCAGAAGTCCTAATAATCCTTGAGAAAATAGCACGTTCGATTGGACGAATAGGGTCATTGGAAAAGGGGTTGGAGCTTGAGAAGACGCTCCTGCAATTTAATATTGGGGCTGAGAATTGTTCTCTTCTCAAGAAGCCATTGGCTCTAAAAAGATGGAGCTTTTTGAAGAGCCATGATCCTTATCACCCATTTTACCGGAAATTTTTTAATGAATACCTTGCTCAGTACCAAGATGGAACTCTTGATCTCCATGTACCTGAATCTAACTTTAGTGATCTTGAGGAGCTTCCAGATAGAGACCACCCTCCTCCTTTAAAGGATTTTTCATATCCTGATGGGATCACACTCATGGAGCTTGGTATTATTAAGCTCACTGCACTGTTTGTGGCGCGGTACGGGAAACAGTTTTGGCTCGAGTCGATACAGACATCCATGAGCCCTCGATTTAGCTTTTTGAACTAAGTGATAGCAGGTACAGTTTTTTTAAAGGGCTTCTTGTTGTCTATCAAAGAGTCTTATTGCCTCACGATGTTTATCCTGTGGATACCGAACTCGAGCTTTTAACACTAGACTTTGATTGATTTGCATGCTCTCGTGTCTGGTGTTGACTGTTTCGCTCACATGGACGATCCTGACTATTCTGCTACCATCCCACCACCTCAACCTCTCTCTGTTTTGATGCTCCATCCTCATATGCCTCCACTCGGTGATGCAGAACCCGATCTTGGGTCTCCTCCTCCGCCTCTAGGACACGCGATCCTACTACATCTGGATTTCCTGCAAGGACCACACTCAAGGAGCTTGGTATTATTAAGCTCACAGCACAGTTTGTGGCGCGGTACGGGAGACAATTTCGTCAGGCGTTGATGATGAGAGTGCTTTTGGACCCTCGATTTCAGTTTATGTTTTTTAACCGTGATCCATGTCTTCATATTTGTTAGTTTATAATTGAGTTTAGTTGTATTAAACTAAAGATTATACAAGTGTGTATGTAAGGGTGAGTTTAATAAGTCGTGCCCTGTTAGAGAAGAAAGGTAGTTATTTTCAGTTTGAAAAGACACAACTCTTCTTTTCTTGTGTTGTTTGAATAACTATATAAGTGTACTTGTGTTGTCTTAATAAAGTTATGGTTTTCAGTTTCTACTCTGTTTTCTCTTCGTGAAACAACTAAAACAGAGAACAGCTTGTTCTCTTTCTCTTACAACAAGTGAAACACTTGTTGTGTTACTTAAAGAAGAAGCAATAGCGATCAACAATTTTGAGTCAATGGAGCCGGATGAAATCAGGTTCCATATCTTCAGTATGCCTGTTGATAAGTATTCCAGAATATTAATGCCTTCCGAAAAACTGGAGCAGTTTGATGCTTGTCCGGCCACAGTTCTCGAGGCTTTTTTCCTCTATCTTCGATTTGAGAAGCCGGAAGAGAGAATGGTTGATTTGCATGCTTCCGTGGCTGGTGTTGACTATTTGCTCACATGGATGTTGCTGGCTATTTTGCTATCATGCCACCACATGAACACCTTACAGTTATGATGAGAATGCATCCTGGTTTTCTTGTGTTACTTCCACTGGGACCTCCAGACTACAATCATTCAAGGTTTCTGCCTCAGCCTCCGCCTCTGTATCTGCGTAATTTATTTGTAAATACATTGCCGCCAAGGATCACACTCAAGGAGCTTGCTATTATTAAGCTCACAGCACAGTTTGCGATACGGTATGGGATGCCTTTTGTGCTGGATTTGATGAGCAGAGTGTATATGGAGCCTGAGTTTGAGTTTCTAAAACACACTGATAGTTTTTATGATGGGGTTCGTGATCTGTATCGCAAATTTCTAAAGCCTTCCGAAAAGGTGGAGAAAAGTGATGGTTGTAGCCTTGTAGGGCGATCGCTCTGGAGTTATTTTTCCACTGTCTTCAGTCGGAGAAGCTGAGAAAGGGAGAGGCGACTTCTATGATTGAATTGCATGCTTTCTTAGTGGTGTTGACTATATTTCTCGCATGGATGATGCTGGATATTCTGCTAGAATGCCTCCAATTCAACACCTTTCAGTGATGATGAACCAGCTAACGCAAATGCATCCTGATATTTTTGTGCACCGTGCTCAGAATCAAGATGATGTACCTGAAGCTCCAGCTACTCATGATCTTGAGCCTCCTCCCTTAAGGAAGCCAACTGTAAGACCTGGCTTGTTTGTTCCGTCTATATGCCTTAACTTGGTCACACCCATGGAGCTTGTCATTATTAAGCTCACAGCACAGTTTGCGATACGGTATGGGATGCTTTTTTGTCGGGCTTTGATGAAGAAAGTGGTTAATAAACCTCAGTTTCAGTTGTTTAAGTTATGGTGGCAACTGATAGAAGGTTCCATGTTTATTATGATGTTGTTGTTGATGCGTATTCCAAAATATTAAGGCCTTCCTTGTAAGGAAAATTTCATTTTCCCTTATGTGGTCTTATATATAGCTCATATATTATGCTAATGAAATTGTTTTCCCTTAATTACATTTGGTGACTTATTAATAAGAAGTTTTAATCTCCGATTAAGATTAGCATAAGAGAGACAAATGTAAACTATAAGAGACAAATGGTAACATTCATGGCTAATTCCATGACATGTATTAAGGCCATACTTTAGCACTTGTCATACAAATTAGACAAATGGTAACATTCATGGCTAATTCCATGACATGTATTAAGGCCATACTTTAACACTTGTCATACAAGTTAGACAAATGGTAACATTCGTGGCTAATTACATGACATGTATTACACTACAAGAAAACACAGTTTTAGCGTCAAATGTAGGTCGACGCTAATATAGCGTCGATTTAGCGTCGTTTTTGCATCGCCATTGAATTTCGACGCTAAATCGTCAGTAAATAGGGACGAAATATTTCGACGCTAAATAGCGTCGACCTACATTCGAAATCGACGCTAATTTGTCGGGACAGACTTTTCGACGCTAAATCGACGCTAAACTTGCATCGAAATAGCGTCGAACGTATAGCGTCGAATATAGCGTCGGATATTGCGTCGAATTTGGTAGGTAGGTGATATGTTTTTAATGGCTTCACCTACTTATTTAGCAGCGCTTATAAACGTCGCAAAAACGACGCTAATTCGAAGCAAAATCGACGCAAATATTTTCGATGCTAATTCGATGCTAATCCGATTCAAATATTCGATGCAAAATCGCTGCTAATAATTTCTATATATACTCAACTATC